GGGGGGGGGGAGGAAGAGGAGGCGTTCCAGACAGAAAATCAGAAAATTGCAAGACTCACGTATTAACACAGATAAATCACATGCGCCACAGAACCCAGCTTTCACCCAGACAACTACTCCAATCTCCTACCCACTAACCATCCTCCAACGGCTCCTCTACCCACCCAACTCAGTCACGCACGGCGCGACTCCCTCTCCCACACAAATTACACCCTACGCACACGTAAAACAACGTATTGGTGTACTCAACCTCCGCCTGATCCCTCCCTCACACATTCATCACCCGCGCGACCTGTTCTACCTAGTTGCCAATCACTCTTTCCTCCGTGTCCTCCTCTGCTTCTGTCTCTTGATTCTTCTGGGTTTTGTCGAGCTCACGCTTGAACAAATCTCCGATCTCCGCTACGCAAGTTACGGGCGTGACACAACGCACCTGCGTGACTTGTTCTTCGACTGGTTGCCGTACATTCCGAACACGGCGTATGTCGGATACCTGCTGATGGCGACGTTACTGTACACAGCGGTAATGTTCGTGCTGTTCAGTCCTGACTGGGAGGTGCGGTTCATTACGTTCAGGAGGTGGTGCTTCCTGATGGGGTGGCTTTATCTGTTTAGAGGCGTGTGTTTGGTGGTTACAACGTTGCCAAGCCCATTACCGCAAGGGTGTACGCCTAACAGGGTCGTGTTGGACGGGTCCGTTGGAGAAAGGCTCATGTATATGCTATTGGAGGTGTTGGGGGTAGGTTTCTTTTTTTTATTTTTATTATGAGAGGTGTCTTTTCTGTTCTAAGAGGAAAGATTCTTGAGTGTTTTTCGTCGTTTCGGAACCTTCCGCGAGGACATCATCTCACCACCCCACCGCCCCAACAACCCCCAGGTAAACAATAACTGCACAAAAAACATTTTCTCGGGCCACACCTGCGTCCTCATGTCATGCGTAATGACCTGGCGTCTCCACTCCCGCCTCCGCCTAATCTATTCCTGGATAGCCTATGCTCTCGCCGCAGCAGGGATGCTCCTAATCATCTTTACGCGTTTCCACTATACACTTGACGTCCTCCTTGCAATATTTATTACCAATGTCTCGTGGCGCATCTACGTTTCTAGCGTAGATAACGCAATCGAGCGACACTGCTTTGGCGTGCGACGCGCGCGTGAGCGGTTCGATGGTGTGGCGGGACGCAGGGCGTATCAATTTCTGGCGTGGCAGCCGAGGGAGATCGGCGCGCGGTGGGTCGGGTGGCTAATCGTGATTGTGGACGGGGTCGATTTAAGGTTGAGAGCGTTGGGGGTTTGGGGGAAGGAGGAGAGCGGGGGGATGGTCGATTTGGCGCTGTTCAGGAGGGGTTTGGAGAATGAGGGCGGGAGGATGCATGTGGCGGAGGAGGCGGAGAGGGTGTAGGGAGACGAACAGGAAACTTTTCGGAGGGTGGGCACAAACCTGTTAGAGGGAAAATAGAATCTAGTTACACTGAGGATAATAATAATCTTTACCAAAATAAACCGACAGCCACGAATGTTAATATTCGGCAAACACCTCCTTTAACGGACGTATCGCCATCCTTATCAGGTAACACGGGCTTAGTATAAAATTTTCAGGTTAGTCCCGCCCATCGTTACACGACTGAGGCGGACTAGCATGGTAAGGTCGGAAATCGTGCACTTAAATCCCCTCGCGGCCTCCCTCTCTGTGGAGAGTTCCGCATCCCATGTTCCACACTGTCGCGGCACCTACCACTCCCAGTGCTGTTCACTATACCCCCATTACCATGGCTACTCCCCCTCCACCTCCGGAACCGCGCGCCGCCATCTTCCTCCGCGTATCCAGGTCGCGGCTCATAGAATCTCGCTGGACCATTGCACTCCCGCTCCTCGCACTCCTTTACTGGCTCGTGACGTGCGGGCTAGAAGTGGCCATCTACTGCGACAACGTGTTAGAGTTCGAGGCCATCCGCATCATGGACAACGATACTTTCGGGGAAGCATCGTGGCTCGCGACCATCAACGCCTCGCGCACAATCCGCGCCGGCGACGACCCACTAGCCCGAGCCGGGTTGAACTTCCAGACGCGGGCGCTGCAGACCATCTTCTTCATCATCTTCGTTTTCATGATGTTCATCTTCGCCGTCGACGCCATCCTGCGTCAAAACTCCATCCAGCTTTTTGCCTACCTCGCCGTGCAGGTACTCTGTCTGGCGTTCACGTCGTCGCAGATATACGACGCGGTGCTGTGGTACCGGAACTTGGACTACTTCCGCGAGGCGTACGGGATTGATTTGCCCATATACCGTCTCGTGTACCAGCGAAACTACGCGACGGCGGAGTTGGCCTTCGGGTTGGTCTTCGCGGGCGCGTCGGCGTTCGTCGTGTGGAGGCTGTACCAGCAGTTCGGGTGGAACATCTACCGTCGCATCGGAGCCGACCTGACAATACAGACAATGTACCGACAGTACCAGCTCTTCCTCGTATTTCTGAAACTGTCGCCCTTGTTCCAAATATGCTTTGAGGCGGTATTCTTGGGCATTCTCGTGCAGTCGAATTTCATGGGCATCAACTTGGGTAAATCCATATTCCACATAGTGATCACGGCATTGAACCTGCTGGCGTTCGCAACGATTGGGACCGCGGCGCGGCGGGAGATGCGGTGGCCGCTCATTGCTTACATTGTTTTGAATGTCGGGATTGCGGTCAACTTTGGGTTGATTTTCAGCGTCTTCAATACGTCCACAAACTGGGGGATCCTGATGGCCTGCGGCATTATCGACTCGTTCCTCAACATTGGGTACACCGTCGTGGTGATGCGCAACTTTGGCAAAGGGTTGAAGGACAATATCCGAATCCTGGGAGAGGACAAGCCCGGGAACGAGGATATGGATTTCGCCGGGTGGGCGATCGACGACGGATTCTCTGACCCAGAGCACCGTGACGGGGCGAGACCTGAGGGCACCAATAACGAAGAATGGGACATTGAGAGGCACGGATCGTCGTCGGTTCCGCTGCAGCATGTGGGTGGAAATATTGAGCAGCGCGGAGGGCCGCCTGTTCCGCCACCGCATCTGGTGCCCATTGCGGGCATTGCGGACGGGTCTGAGAAGCACGAGGTGCCAGAAGAGGGATGGGACGGGATTGATCTTGGAGAGCGATGAACGTTGCGGGTGCAATTGCTGTGCGCGTGGTGATGAGGGAGGATGGTGCGGGCTGTGTAGATGCTGAAGGAAAGAGAGCTTTGCTTTCCGAATTGTAAATTCTTGATTAATTAGATTCAGTCACTACTTTCATTGCACTTTATAATTTTTTTTCTTTTCTTTTTTGTATGTTTTAATTGTGCCTTTGCATTTTCGAGTGCATGGCTCATAGACACCACCGACGCAATACACTGTACTGTGCACGTCACCGATTCTTTTTCGACAGAGATTTCATTATGTACAATCACACAAACAAGGTTTTTTTTTGCCATACGCCTCCCTCCAATAACATGCAAACTTGGATCTTGTGGCGTTTTTTGGTGAATGCAAACCTTAAATTCGAACCCCGCCAGGAAGTTTGTTGAGTCAGAGACGACCAGCAAACTAACTAATCACGTTTTGACCACCCAGCCCCAAGCATTTTCATGTTCAATATTATGCGAGACTTGGATAATTTTAAAAATGTCATAGACGAAGGCACGTGGGACCAGAGCGGTCTTAGCTAGAAACCATGCCAGACACCTTTTCAGACACATTCCTTGTAATTACGTATTAACTGCATGGAAATTCCCACGAAATGACTAAATTTTACACCCGCGGTCCATAGAGTATATATATACAAAACTCCGTTGCGAATCACGTGAGAGAGAGAGAGAAAATCGCGGAAAAGAAAAATTTCCGAGCAACCAGATTCGAACTAGTGACCTAAAGATGACAGTTTAACACTACAGTCTTCCGCTCTACCAACTGAGCTATGCTCGGATTTGATTTTTTAGCGATTTGATACAAATTTATATGAGCAAATTGTATACAGTATACATCGATTTCTGTCATTTATAGCCGCTAAAACTAAGTAATAATAGTAATAACATTAAAATTGTAGCTCTAAATGAGCTAATTTGGTCTGGTTCAGTCTAGTTTAATCACAATTTATTTATTTTTTTAATCTATTACAATCAATTTTACCTGATATCAGCGGGCAATCCCGTGGCGACGAGCCCCGAACTTAAGGTTAGCAAGAATGACCTGTCTCGTGAGCAATAAATAAACCAAAATGGCGATCGCTTTAAATCGGCGTGTTAGCGAGCACCGTTACTTATTCCGAACGGTGATATATTGCGTCTGGCCACTAACCAAGCATTTACTCTCTTCCCTATGATGTTTTAATGGCACGTACACGAAATTTTTGTGGAGTTTAGCCGAAACCGACTGGGGAATGGAGGAAATGCTTTGTATTGGATATTAACTTTTTTTTTTTTTTAAAAAAAAAAAAATCTGGACATCCGAAAAATAAAAGCACAATTTACAGTTCTCATCCTCGGTACATTTGTCACTCTCCTCTCCCTTTGCCAATCATTATTTCTGCTACTGGGTAAGTTAAGTATAATTAATAGGAGGATTATCGGCTGGTTTAAGAGACAGGTTGCATCAACATGTCTGCCGTTATGCATTGTTTATAAACTCAATATGCCACAGTGCCAAGCTGCCGCGCCCCAACAAAGATGTCGTCTGGCTCAAACTCAAAATTTTATTGGGCGTATTCGCGTAGCAGATGCGCGAAGGTCAATTCTCGCAGAGGAGACCGGCCTATCAGGCGTATATACATGGAGGGAATACTTCGAACGTAGCGTGTAAGCGATGAGACTGGGTGAAGAGAGAGGAGGAGTTCAACTATCGTGTGAATGCATCATAAAAATTTCTTGGACACTCGAGGTGCATCACCAGCTGTCACCTAGAGTGTCAGTCGGGATGCACGATGGTCCCGATGCAGATGTTCCGATGCAGATGTTCATAGATGGGTGGGTGTAAATGCTAATATTTTCGATGCACGTGTCTCCAAATTCAGCTCGCCTATGGATCTTAATTATCTTTTTATTATTATAAAATAACGACATATTTACTACCAAAGCTAATTTACTTATAATGAGTTGGAGGATGGATGATGGATGGCGGGCAATGGACGACGGATGGCAACCGACTAAACACAGAACGGCGATAACGATCTCTAATGCATCGTGACAAAGCGGATTATTCTCCGTCCAGTAAAGAAACCACTAAAACAAATCACACATTGCGGCATCAAAGAGATGGATTTTTGCACGAGATCGATTTTCGGCATCCTTAATTCTGAATTTATGTTAATACTGACCCTGATGTAAATGGCTTAGATGTCATGGATGTAGATGGGAGATGTCCTTGATGCAGATGCAGAGTGAGATGTCGTAGATGTGGATGTCAGATGGTCCCAGATGTCTCGGACGCAGATTGCGCCAGGTGGGATGTCCAAAAAATAATAATAATAATAATAATGTTGTGGGGGCTACTTGAAGCACCCTCTCCTGTGACTCAGACCTCGTATAAGCGAAGCATAGGCGGGCACCAGTGAGAAATGCAACCAGGGAGTGGAACGTATACTGAAGTGTAAAGCGTATTCCGAATTACGGTGAAACATACGACGTAGAGGGGAGGTTTGTGTTTATCAGACATCGGCATTAAAAACGTGATTCCGCACGGAATCTCTCATAAAGCCTATGGCGATGGTCTTTTATTGAGCCGCAAGCCTGGGCCTTAAATACCATTCTGTCCTCAACTGCCCTAATCCGTACACATAGACCTACATCCCGCGTCGACTACACAAGCACTTCGTTTGGTATTGTACACTACCTACATAAAGTCTCCACAAAATCAAACGGAAGTTTCCGAATAATTTGCATGTAGCTGGAATTCTTAAGACCTCAACGTGTCTTTCACACCGTCACCATCACAATGAACAATAAGATCAGAAGAAGAAAAATATGTTATATAGTGTACTTGTGTTGTAAAACTACAAGTTAATATACAGTGCCCCAGCTGGCGGCTTTGGAAGTGTTGGAATTAAGCTTATTAAGCCACTTTATGAAGTCGGTCTGGGGCGATTCAATATGATTCCAGAAACTGTAATAGTCGAGCTCAATCATACCCAGATTGATGTTGTTGGTGCAGCAGCCCGGGATCTTGTCGATCTGGAAAACGTTTCCGCGAACCGTTAGCAAAAATGTCGAAGCTGACGGAAGGTGTTGATGCGGCAAGAATACCACGATACAACCATCACAACAGGATACTTACAATTCCGCCAGCACCGTTCATCAGCTGCGCGTAGATCCCGATGCAAACCTCCGCGTTGACGCCGAACGGGATCTGTCCCTGCAGCTTCCAAGGCACGGGTTTCCGGTAGACGATCTGATCTGCCGGGCTGTAATACGTGCACAAATAGGGTGTGGCGTCCGTGGCGCACTGCCATTCTAAGTATTTGAGATGCTCGCTAAGATTACTGCCTCCGTCGTATCTGCACGCGAGGTAGTCTTGCAATACCCAGGGTAAGGTGTGGTGCGTCGCTTGTGGCGCAGGCAGCGAGCCATCCGTCGGATAATAGCTCAGCGCAGGGTTGGCAAAAATGATGCGGTTTGTACCGTTGGCTGTGAGTTCACCAAGGGTCGGGTTCTTGTTGTAGAGTTCGGAAAATTGGATGGCTATGGGACATCTATTAGGTTTAAAGGTGGCGTTTGAGATTAATACGGGAGTTTCTGTTATGTCCGGGATGGGAGAGGGGAAGGTTCTATCTAATACGTACTTTGAATCATCTTTGCAGAAGATAGTGGTAAAACATTCGATCGCCTACACGAAATCCGTATATATGTGTGACTATGAGTCTTGCACAACTGGCCAACAAAAACAATCCAATCAAGCTAGGAATGGCACCTTATTGAGCAGCGACGTGACATCGCCCTGGCGGAACTCGAGAACGATGCGGATCACCTGATTGTTGCCTTTGCTGAGTTCGACCTGCAGGTCCCGAAAGACGATACTGAGGAGTGGTCCGTAGGCCCAAACCGGGTCGGATCCCTGTTGAGACGATAGATTACTTTCAGCACGCAGACATAATAACGGGGTAATCATCCACCATTCGGGTATCGAAGAAAAAGCAACAATGCAAAAAACATACATGGCAAACGACGGGATCTTCATCGGTATACGCTGGAACGGGGCTCGCGAATCTCTTCTGGTATAGGTTGAAGAAAAGTACGTTCTTCTTCGCGTGGGCGGCGTCGCACATCTCGAAGTGGAACGCGCGGACGCCGTCGCGGAACTGCTGGGCGACGGATTTATCCTGGCACTCGGTAGTACATGAGAGCGGCCGCAGAATCGAGATACCCGCCAGGGCTGGATTTGGAGATAAGATATAGGTAGCGGAGTTGTGCGTGCCCGGGAAGACGTAACCTTGCATCAAGTGCAGGCCACAGTTGTCGGGCGAGCCATTGCAGGAGGGTGTAGCGTCGACACGCTTAACAACAGGCTTCTGTTGGTTGTGATTGGAACGATGAGGGAACGGATTTGGAGGAGGTTGCGTTGATTAGGGAAGGCGAAGGGTGGATTGGTCAATACTTACAGGCTTGGGACTGGCTTCGACGAGAGACAGACCCGCTACAACGAGAAGTGAAATTAGCGCAGAAAACCGCATTGTTGAAAGCGAGGGGATTCTGAGTCGCGTTGGTTAAACCGAGACAATAAGTATCGGGCGGTCACATGTTCCATCGTAATTTGACAGGCCCTCTTTTTGAGGCGAGGCTCGGCGGCAGCGGCCTTTTTGGGGCGAGGCTCGGAGGGTGCGGCCTTTTGGGGTGTAGCACGACCGGAGGTGTCCGACCCAGGGCGATCACGATAGCGAAATTGGTAGTAACCAAGGTTACTCCTGGTCCATCATTCCCAAAGAAATATTGTCAAAAAGATGTCCCTCGGCCAACAAGCGAACGGACACCGAACCGGTAGGTTGCGGGTATAGTACCCAGGTGGAAAAGTGAATCGACTAGGCAAGCTTAATGTCGACGACCGTTTTGAGCCGGGCAATGACAAGTGATCATGAACATTTCGTTTTTCAATTTGATTCGTTAAGAAATGAGATCCCTTTTATGCATATCGCATGGTCCCTATAAAGGGTGACCTTGTGTTCAGATCGTTTCTGGCACAGACCTTTCTGACATCCACGCAAAAACACATCTTTGCATACGTCCTACATATTTCATGAAGCCCGATCGTATGTTTCAGTCCGATCACTATTGATTAAGTTCAAAAATTGACGTTACGCGTTTCATGACGAGCGAAAAGGGGACATCACCATAAGTTGGAGGCTGCCCGGCACAGTTTTCAGCTCTAGGATAATTAAAAATATAAATGGCAAACTTATTTATATATTCAAATATTTAATAAATAGATTAAAATTTAGAATCACTACAAAATTTAATTATTATTATTATTATTATTATTATTATTATTTTTATAGTCACTCAGACTTCCCTTTATTACCTCAATCTATAAATAATAATACAATTTCACCCCCAACCCCTCAACTGATCCCCCTTAGATCCCCTTCTCCACCCTCCATCCCTTTCCATTAGAGGATAACCCAGCCACCCACCACCCAAACCCTCCCTCCACTTTTCTGGCAAATACAATTCACCAAACTCCATCAGCCCCCCCCACCTGGTCTCCACCCTCTCCACCAGCTATTCAAAATATCAAGTATTAACCATTCTCATCATGCCATCTTAGCCCCAACCTCAACCTGCTGGCCCTCTTTGAATATATATAACCAATGCCTGACCAGCCCAACCCAAATTGCCAGAACCTATCTCAAGATCAATCATTCATCCCCAACCCTACCCACTAACCTTCAGTGGAGGTCCCCCCATCTCCTCTCTTCCCCCTCCACCAGGGCCTGCAGTCTT